AGAGCAGTGGTTCTCAAATTTGGAAATGCCCTTTTTTTGTTGTTAATACCTATGCTTGGATCTCATCCCCAGAGATTCTGGTTTAATTGGTAAGGAGGAAGGCCTGGACACTGGGATTTCAGAAGCCTCCCCTGGTGATTGTAATATACAGCAGAGTTTGAGAACCACTGTTCTGTAGCCACAGTTCTTAAAACTTACGAGAATCACAAGCCCCTTCCTGCCCTACAACGCGGTACAGTGCTCGAGCACAACAGTTTGAACAATCTCCCAAGTGACCCTGATACAGGGCATCTTAAAAGTGTGTCCTAGATATCAAGAGACCTTTTAAGGTATTTTAATATTATATTACAATTAATGTCAATAATAAAGTAACCTGCTGTATATTGCCAATTATAAATTCCCAATAAAATGTACTTTCTAGGAAGCTTAATATCAAGACAATATTCAACATAATTTGATAAGTATAAAAGCAGTATGCGGTAGGTAATAATTTATTCTGAAAATTGTTTTTGATTAAATTTTCTGTATCTGCTGATATACCCATTCAAGGGAAAAAAAATTATATTGTTTTGTAGTGTAGATTCCAGAAACAATGGAAGCTTGCTAAGAGATGTTATATCACATGGTCAAACTACTTGGGTTCAAATACCATCACTGACTACTTGGGTAAAGGAAGAAATAATGACATCTGTGTCCCAGGATTGGTGGCAGGTATATGAGAGAAATCATTAAATGCTTGCATAGTGGCTGTGCATCACAGGCAATCAGTTAAGACTAGCTCTTGTGTTACTTACAATTAGAGGATAAAATTTTATGTAAAAGATTAATGGGTACTTATAAAGTTTCTGTGTATCCAAAGGAAAACTTGGAACTATGTCGAGACTACTGTCTGTCTTTGTTTGCCAGGGAATCAAAGCCATCCTGGCGGAGAGTTATGAACGTATTCATCGCAGTAACCTGGTTGGGATGGGGGTGATACCCCTTGAGTATCTCCCTGGTGAGAATGCAGACACCCTGGGACTCACAGGTCAGGAACGATATACTGTCATCATTCCAGAAGACCTCAGACCACGAATGAAAGTCCAGGTCAAGGTAAGTTGAGCATCTCCCTGCTGGGGCCCTTTGTAATCAATCTTGTTAGAAGGAAATTAGTGGGAAGAATATGAGGGCTGTCTGGAAAGTATCCAGCCATGGATACAAGGGCTGGATACTTTCCAGACAGCTCTCATGTATCACTCAGGACTGCATTAGACTTAGGAGTCCTGCCTGCACCTTTTCTACCTGCCTGCCGAACATAGGATGATGCCTGTTGATTTATTATTTATTTCTCTATTTATAAAGTTAGCCTCAGTTCCATTCTTACCTCCCAACCCCAACCCAGCCCCACTGTCACCCAGCCCAGATACTCATGAAAATGTCACACCCCTGAGCTTTCATCATATTACCTAAAAAATTTTTTATTATAAAAACGTGAGCAACACTCACCTCCTCCCTAAGTCTCCCCCCAGGCTTTGAATAGCCTAAAGGTAAAAATGACAGATCCCTAGGCAAGGCAAGGATGAAGTACCCAGCACCAAAGTCCCAAGACAGCCACCCAGAGGTCTGTGTCTCAGGGTGAGCACCTGGGCCAGCTGCCTAAGGGACAACCTTAATGAAACCTGCTGACCCAAGACAGGTCTCCACAGGGAGACCCCAAAGAAGGTTTGGAAAATACCATCCCAGGGTTATGAGTAGCTGTACTGAGAAGCTAGTTCTCAGTACAGTTCTGAGGTACCGCTCACCTCCGTCATTTATAGTCTGCATCTGGCCAGCAGCCTCGCATGTTCCCTGGTGCTGCTGGAGTGTGGAGATTCTACATAGCCTGAGGGCAGGCTGTGTAGAATCTCCTCCTGGCAGAGCTGTCTCCCTCAGTGATTCTTTCTTTGTGCCACAGCTGGATAACGGGAAGGCCTTCCAGGCCATGATGAGGTTCGACACCGACGTGGAGCTCACTTACTTCCGCAACGGAGGCATCCTCAACTACATGATCCGCAAGATGGCCAAGTAGACCCCTGCTCCTTAGGAGACCTGCACTCAGCACTGCACCCAGGGAGGAAGCCGTGCCACCAGGCAGCCGAGGCCCCAGCTGCTCCGCAGAGGGTGCTACCCTGCGGACGGAGCGAGTGAGCGTGGGGTTTGGGTGCCATTCCTGCAGGCACAAAGCCAGGAGTTTCTACATTCTCTATTTTTGTTAATCTTCTTATTTTTTTCTAGAATTTGAATGGTGGAAATGTCAGTAGTGCCAGAAAGAGAATCAAGCTCGTCTTTAAGTTACTGATCACAGGACATTGATTTTTCACTCTTACCTATTAATCTTCAGCTGAACAGAAGCAAGTCTTCTCAACAGGTGTCTTCTGCCCTTTTTGTTGTTCCTCTCTTATCCTCTGCTCCATGAAATCTTTCCCCCGAGGGTCATTTGCCTTTCCATATTATACCAACGTTAACTGACGTGGATAGATGAAAACTTGGCACACTTCAAATCATAGTAGTGACTTTGATTCTCTCCCCTCCCTGCTTTTCCTTCAGCGTACATGATCTAAACAGCTTCTGGATGGGTCAGATGTTAAAGTTTTTTGGTTATGTACCTTTTGATAGACCAACATAAAAAGAAACATGAAGTTTTCTTTTACTGTCTTCAAAAATTTTCCCCAGAAAATTTGTCATTTTTCAAGAGGAGACCTTTGTCTGGAGGTGGTTTGGGAGAGAGAGACAGAACATTTCTAATTTGAATAAGATTAAATCTATTTTCAATGAAAACTCGTTTACGTGAGTTTTGCTGTGTGTGGGGCTATAGTTTTGGAATATTTAGAGCAGAGCAAGTCTCCGACTATATCATCTCGAAGCTTGAATGACCTTCATGTTCTCCTGCTTTCACAACTGTGTAAGAGCTGTGCAGGTACGACAGAAGTGTTGAGGAACCAGTATGTTCTCTGCCCTGTTTGGGGACAAGAAGGAAGAGTAGCCCAGTAGCAGTGATGTAAGTATGGTGAGCAAATCATAGCTGTTCTAGTGTCCTGAAGTTAATCTGTTCATTTTTATCATTGAAATCATTTCAGTGCACATCTTAGTCTGCTCACGATGCCATAACAAAATACCATGGCTTAAACAAAAATTTATTTTCTCACAGTTCTGGAGGCTGAAAGTCCAAGATCAAGGTTCCAGTCGTTTCAGTTTCTGGTTGAGAGTGTTCTTCCTGGCTTGCAGATAAACACCTCCTCGCTTGTCCTCACATGGCCCTTCCTTGATACATGCCTGTATGTGCCCATGAAAAAGACTCCCCAGTTGGTTCTAAAATGCAGCCTTTGATCTAGAAAGACAATAAGCAGCTATTGGGCATTAGTCAAGAGGTAGCACTTCATTTCTTTCATTCAACCCATATTAACCAAGTGCCTACTCTGTTCCAGGGGCCATGCCTGGCAATGGCAGTACTCCCTTTAAAAATCAAACAAGGAAATTCTCAGTTTTTCTTTTATCAGCTTTAGTCTGCCTTCCTCTGTTGGCTGAAGACTATTCGCCTTAATTCAAATTGAACCATTTAGATCAGCAGTCCCCAACCTTTTTGGCGCCAGGGACCATTTTCATGGAAGACAATTTTTCCACAGGACAGGGCAGGTAGTTTCGGGATGATTCAAGTGCATTACATTTATTGTGTACTTTATTTCTATTCTTCTTCCCTTGCAATATATAATGAAATAATTATACAACTCACCATAGGTTGGGGACCCCTGATTTAGATACTTAAAAGAACTTTTCTGAAATAGATTTCTCATAGATGTTTTATACCTCCTATCGGAGTTCTTAAACAACAGCAATCACATATAAAAAGATATGTTCTAATAAAATATTAATGGGAAATGAAAGAAACAGCTATCAGCAAATTGGTTTAAACAATCCATTTTTATTTTGTCTTAACTAATACTACTACTAGTAATAACTTA